GGTACCCGGCTATAAACAGCGAAAGATCTTGTCAGTTTGTTAGTGTTTGAGCGCTTAATCGGCTGCTCGCACTGTATGCTTCCCGGGAAGCTGAGAATGTTTCGGAGCTCAAACGTGATACACTTTTCCTCGGGTCATTAGCGTTAGATCCAGGGGATTTCTACGACAGCTCTGTAAAAGATTAAATATGACTGTATAGATTCTGGATTTTAGGAAGCCAGTAGCCTCATTTACTAATTGCTTGATGCGTTGTATCTGTTGGTGTTGATTTGAAAACTGGGCGTTTTATTCCAATCTGTTAATCGGAATGTTTATCTCGTTTTTGTTGGCGTACGTATATGGCTCATCAGGGTTTGAGGTTCATTGTGTTATCAAAAGACATAAAATAAAAGAAATGACACGTGTATATTTTTGACTGGAGGCAATCGCCAACTTAGAATTACAAAGTTCTATCTGACATTTTTGCTGTTTTGAGTTAGTATGATTATAGGGTCAGAAAATACATGTTCTATCATCTATCTGCTCTTTCAAAGTCGTAAGATTATTCGGAGTCGTTATCAAGATATTCCAAGTATTTCTTTCGAAAAAGCCTGACTTGTGACAGTCAACATTTTATTTTTAACGTCAGATTTCTCGAAACTAGGTGCTGATCTGATAGAACTTCGAAATTCTAAGGTAGTGATATACAGCTTTAAAAAGTTTAAAATAACCAAAACGTTAATGAAACTGAACAGATGGAGGTAAATTGTAGCTTGCTGCCACAAGAGCACATATTTGCACGGAATCCAGGCATCAACTTGTAGAGCAATACATGGCTAAGGGGCAAAGGGAGAGGGAAAATATACTTAATATTGATTAAATGATAAAAACAAGATACCCTGATAATCAGGATGTTTATTCCGATAATCATCTGTTGTGTTTTTACGGCTGCTGAAACTCTAGAATCTTGGCAAAGGTTTTGGACTGGTTGGAAGCTTTATCTTTTCCTCAATCCTGAGACTAATTTGGTTGCCCTCAGAATAATGCCCACGAGACCTCACAGGCTTTAATCTGGCACATCGCAATTCTTCCGGATCTATGGTGTCTGCTATAAATCTGTGCTAACAATGATGGCTTTCACAACAACAAAAAACCCACTTCGAGAAAAAGAATGACCTCATAAATCTTGATGTCTCCCATTGTGTGTCTATCTATCTCTTTCTCTGGTTAAAGGTTTCAGGTATTTACAATAACGATGTTTGCCCGTCGCTCTTTACAGAGATATCAATATTTCTTGGTTGCCGTTTGCTCTCGCTCTCTGTCCTCCTGTCTCTCTCTCCCTCGTTCTATCTTTGGTTCTCCCTCTTGTCCTCTCTCTCTCTCTCTCTCT